TAAAATTTTGAGAAAATAGCAATTGTTTTTAAGAAAAATTTGGTACAAGTGATCGTTGGGAAGAGTTAGTGATTTGCCTTTTGTCCCCCCAGATATTAAAAAATTTAAAACATATATTTATTTAGTAAAAAACAATTTTTTTTATTAAATCTCGGCACAATATGTGCTTCTTTATCAATAGAACCTATTGGAACTATATTGTAATCATTTGTGTAGAATAGGTGTGGGCAACTATACACCTCTGGCTCGCTTGGCACAATGTAATACCAGCGAATCATTGTGAGGTCAAAAGGATCTTTTGCTGATCTCTGAAAGAATCTTAGAAATATTAATACTTTCTCATACTAAATACCTTTATCTGACTCATACTGTTTCTGATCCTCTGCAGCAAATACTGCAACATTACTAAACCACTCCTTATCTTGGAAACTAGCAGACGTTCTCAAAATTTCGCCACTTTCCAAATAAAGCGTATCATAAAATTTTATATAAAAATCTTCATTTTCGGAATCTTGCGAGGACGTATCAAAAAAAGTATCTAAAGCTAGAATTAATTGAGACGTGCTTCAATGAAGTTTGGATGGGCCTGATTCGAGTTTTTTAGAGAATTAACTTTTGCCTCAATTGCATCCAGCTTCAGTTCCCATAATACGTTTCCAAAACCTTCAGTTTTATGTCAGATTGCATTTCTTACTAATGGAGCTAATTCTTTACGCTTTACCTTTAAGTATTATTATAATGTTTTTTTATAAAATTATATTTCAAAAAAATCTTGAAAATTTCTATACGGAAATTTAAATCTTTTTAATATGCAATAACTATATAGCAACTACCGTAAAAGTACATATGGGGGGTGCCAGTAGAAACCAAGCAATTGGTTTCTAAGTAAATTTTTTTTAAACTTTGAACTAAAATATCTCAACAACTACTAAACCAAATGTGATAATTTTTTTTTTATTTTAATTCTATATAGTTATAGAATTAAAATAAAAAAATTTTTATCAAGTTTGGTTTAATAGTTGTT